AATATAACGTTTATTAAATAAGAGATTAAAGTGAAATCTGAAATTAAGTTAACAGAATTGAGGACAAATTAAGCCTTTACTATTTTATCATAAACAAAAAAACAAAAACACTTAAATAAGTTTGCTCCAAAAATAAATGAGAAAATAGGATATGTGTAAGAGTAAGAATTGTCTCTACATGTTATCTCTATGTTTTGATGATAACAATTAAGTATTTGTGAAATAACCATTTTATGTTCTAATGTTTGTTGTGTGCAAATCGTTAAATAAAGATATCAAATCAACAAACAATATCAAGAAGTGCATTAAATTCAATATGGAGTTACTTTGTGTGACGTGACATAAAAGCACTTATTAAAGAAGCAAGTTTGCCTCTGTATCTGTTCACGATCATAAAGTTCCAAGGATGCTGTATATTGCAGTTGCAATGCTCCTGTAGATTCTGCTCTGAGAAGTGCATCTGATCTGAAAGCAATCAAAGCGTATTGAAGAAGCAAGTATGGCTCTGTATCTGATCACAATCAGAAAGATCCAAAGATGTTGTATATTGCAGTTGCAATGCTCTTGTGGATTCTTCTCTGAGAAGTGTATCTGATCTGGAAGCTATCAACGCATCTGAGATATAGTCCTCTGAAGAACCAAGCTCTAAAGACTCTGATGACTTGAAGCTCTAAAGGCTGAAGGCTCTGAAGACCAAGTATAGAAAGACTCTGAAGACTTAAGGGTTCTGAAGATCAAGACTCTGAAAACTCTGAAGATATAATCCTCTAAATAATTACCTACTGAAGACTCTGATGACTTGAAGCTCTGAAGGCTGAAGGCTCTGAAGACCAAGTGCAGAAAGACTCTAAAGACTAAATTCTGAAGATAAAGATTATGTAGCTTCACCCAGATAAAGACGTGTTAATCAGATAAGTTGTTGCTATCAACTCTGATAAACAAGGTGCTGAAGTCAGACTCTGATGTTATTATGCTATCATACCGAAGTAGTTTCTGAACTACTCATCAGATACATCATCAGAAGAACCAAAGCCAGAAGTTGATCTGTCCAAGATGATAAATGAAGATCACATCATTTATGGATAAGAGCTGTCTCCCACAATGATATATTAATGTTGCAAGAAAAGGAAAAGAAAGTGATGTCAGCACTATACAACACATGAGTATTCTATTCGTTGGCAAATGACCGTTGGAATATTTGAATGGACATCTCTATCCTCACAACGTCTCTTTTGAATGCACTATAAAAGAAGAACATTTAATTCATTCAAAAGTTAGCCAATTAAAAAGTAAGAAGCTCATTACAAAGCAAGCTAGCTTGTTACAAAGCAATGATGCTGACGAGTGAAGTTAGCAGCATAGTTGATTAACAAGAAAAACTTTATGCTAAGAAGCCGCAGTGCTCACATAAGAAAGCTTTTAAGCAATATGGAAACTACTGTTCTAATAATCTCATAGAGATTTATCTTTAGATTAGTTTCTGTATTATGAAGCAAAGAGTTGTTGCTCAATACTTGCTATGTACTTAATTAGGAGTAATCTGCTTGATAAGAAGCACTCATGTAATCTCCGGCAACACAAATTCAATTTAGAATTAGTGGTCCCTCAGGTGATCTTATGAAGATCAGAATACTTGAGATGACAAGTGATAGTTGTCATTTGTGGAATTCTAATAGGATATCTTTAGTGATCGGATTCTATTAGATGTCAATGAACGTTATATCCTAAGGGGTCCCTGAACGTGTCATTGTCTATTTGTTAGTTACCTGCAATTAGCTTGTGCAACTGTAATCAATTTGGTTATAGTGGATTAAGTCCTTGCTTGAGTGAGGCGAAATCACCTTGGAAGGGTGGACTGGATTAGCTTGAGAGTTGCTCAAGTGAACCAGGATATATCATGTGTTCTTTACTTGTGTTATGCTTTATTATATATATGCTTCCGCAATGCATCTTAAAGAACTCTATAGAAAGCAACAAGTGAAGAAACTCAGAAAAAGTTTTAATAGAGTAAATACCCAATTCAAACCCCCCTTTCTTGTGTATTTTTCACACCTTTAGTTGGTATCAGAGCTCCGATTCTGTTATTGATGGATATCAAACACCTAACACTGTCAGAAAAAGATCCTAAAGCTGTGTGAAGAAATATTCTTTGTGGTTTTTCACTTCTCTTACAATTTCAGTCAAATATCAATTTTTGATAAAGATGAGTACTGAAATTGTAATCAAATGGGTTATCTTGAGCAAGTCAGTGATTAATTGAAGTTTGAAGGTTTGAAGTTTTCAACGACAAAATCTTCTCCACTAGAGCTTGGAAGAAGATTGTAGAATCAGCTGACAAGAGAGATTCATCAGATAAGAAGTTTTCTGTTGAATGCTTATCTTGTAATACGTTTGGATATACAACGTATTCACTCAAAAAAATCAAATCATCAGAAAGCAAGAAATCTTGTTTGCTGAAGATTATTTTTATGTGAGTATGAGATGTTTTCAAGAAACGGATTAGTCCACTCTTGACTTTCTCATGAAAAGCTCATTGAGAATTATCTTTAGTAAGTAAAGAAATATTGTTGGCTAATGAATTTGACTCATAGGAACTTCAGAATAAAGTCTGCAGAAAATGGATGGAACAAAGTTAGTTCAAATTTTGAAGCAATGATCCTCCTGATTCAAGGCATCAGAATGTTGTTGTCCTTGAGAAGCTTCAAAGAAATCTGTAGATGTTTCGTGTAAAGAAGTTCACTAACTCATCATGGATATGATGTAAGATGAACTCTGAGATCTTATTAGTAGTAGCATGGAAAATTAAGTTCTGTTAACTTGAGATTTTATCTCAGTTGAACAAACTGTAATTGGTCAGATGTTATCAGACATTCTTTCTCAGAAGTTCATAATGATTGGATCCTGAAGTCAAGATGTTCAGAAAGATACAATGACAGAAGTCATTCAATCTGTTTTTCAAAAGGGATTTAAGTCACTGGTGTTGTTCATATTGAATAAGTCAGTTGACATTCTTTTCAGAAGCAAACGTACTGTCAACTCTGGTTGAACTAACTCTATACAAGTTAGCTCAGCATTGCAAGAACAAAATTATCATTTAGATTGTGTCATTTGATGCATCTAAGTTTGATGATAATTGTATCTAGACTGGATCTGCGTTTGATTATAGTAAATCAAAATCAGAAGATGAAGCCTGATGGAAGTTAGATGCTCTAAATCTTGAAGATCAGAATATTTGTACTCTGAAGATGTCTCTCAGAAATCAGATGGATGATGTGTTGATGAAGATACTGCAGAAGGCAACCAAAGGATATGAGATCAGCTCAGAAGAGAAATTCAGAAGATCCTACTTCAGATGCTGTCACTGGCTCCTCTCACAAGAACAAGATCCTTCCTCATATCTTCAAGACTAGTCAGCAAGAAGGTTTTTGACTACACAGAGATACATGCTTCTGTGGCAAGGTTAGATTCAATACTCTTGTTAATTTCCTTTGTTGCTCAGAATAACATCAATCTAAATCAGATGAATATTAAAAATACTTTTTAAATGGTTTAATTGAAGAAGAAGTATGTGTTCATCAACCTTCTGGTTTTGAAAATGAAAGATTTCCAAAACACGTTCTATAAATTAAAGAAATCATTCTTTAGCCTAAAACAAGCTCTCAGAGCTTTGTGTGAAAGGCTGAGTAATTTTCTTCTGGAAAATAATTTTATTAGAGGAAAGATTGATAACACTCTTCTTCATAAATCAATTAAGAAAAATATTTTAATTTGTCAGATTTATGTAGATGATATTATTTTTTTTGGAACAAAAAAATATTACACTTGGAAAGGAGTTTGCTAAGTGTATGCAGACAGAAGTTAAAATTAAGCTACAGAATGATCTGAACGTTAAGCCACAACACTTCAGAAGATTCTGAGTGTTTTACAAGAAGCAATGTTTCAGAAGACTCTGAGCGCACTTATCTCAAAGAGTGCAACTGCAGAGGTTCTGAGAATCAGATTATGCATAGCTCTGAAACGTCAACAACAAAGCTTACATCTGGATAACAAGGACATCTGAAGAACGAAGATCTGCTCTGATCTGAAGCGTTCCTCTGGATAAACAGTTTACTGAAACATTCGCTAGAGATAAGCTGCATAGATCTGAAACTTACTCTGGAACTTCATCAGAAGATCTGAAGATTACTCTGATAAGGGAAGAAATGGAACTTCATCAGAGGATCTGATGCAAAGAAACATTTCCATATTTGTTCACTCAATAGATGCTGATCAAGATAAGTAGAATTTCAACATCACAGTCAGAAGAATCTATTGTAGAAATCAATGAAATCTAGTATCTGAACCATATCAGTATCAAACCCTCTGAAGAAACACTTCTGAGCTTGATGTCATTGATTGAGCTATCATCTGTTGATGAAGATCTTCTGGGCAAAGACTGAATGTCAATAACAAGAAGGACTAACTAACATAACTCTAATAGTTATGGTTAAAAAGTCTAGTACAAAGAATCTCTCCAAAAGATAAAGCGAAGCTTTGATAATTTCTAAAGAAATATCAAAAAGGAAATTTGTCATGTCATATCATATTAATGAATCTTTATCAACTAACAATTTTAGAATGCGTATCAATTAAACTCAAAATAAATATTGTCAAACAAATAAATAATACATTTTAATATTTTTTATTCAAATAATTCTTTTGGTTGAACTTTTTTCTATTCATTTCACGGTTAACCTAACAAAATATGCAGCGGCCACTGTAATTCACGCCGCCGGTTCATCCTCCTTCAAGCACCACTCCGCTGCTTCATCCCCCTTCATATTTTCATTTTTCTTTTCTTCTTCATCATCATCCCTCCTCCTTCTCTGTCCAAATTCCTTTTTTCAAAAAACCTTCATTCTAGCCGGTGCTCCCTTCCGCACCGCGGCCATTAACCGCGATTACTACATAGGTATACATTCAGTCATTTTCCAATTGAATCGTAGGTTGTTTCCTCAGTCATGGCTGCTTTGATTTCCAAAAGGCTACTACGTTCTTATGGCTCATTGCATTCACTACGACGCTGTTTTGATTCACCTAATGCAGAGTTCGATTCTTTACATAAACCAAATGGTAACGTTTCTTGTAACCCTAACACTCTTACTTTATAATTCTATTTTTTTGGGTCAATTTTTTTCAGCTTTTACAAATCTGAGTACTTTTTTTCTTTAGCAGATATATGCAGCAGTTTATGTGGAGAGAGGGTGATTTCTGCACAACGTCTCTTGGTACATTGCCAGATATATTCAACCATTTTTCCGTTGTAGTTCTCTCTTAAGCTGGTTGTATAGTGATTATTAATTTATTATTGTCTAATAAAGTGTTATGTTGTTTATAAATGTAGACCGGATCAATGATGCAAAGGTTTTGTACCGCTAGTTTCACTCCTGGACACGACGAAGATGCATTTCCATCCGACTTATTGTCCAAAAAGCCTCTTGCAAAATCTGAGCGCGATGTAGGTAATGAAAGCTAGTTAGAACCATTTTGCATTACATGAATATGCTGGTACTTCATTATGCTTCATTTCATGCAAAACTTTCTCTAATGATCATCAGCAATGCATTTTTTTTGTGTGTGTGTGTATTACATGTTAGAACTGTATGTTTTTTTATGAGCCATTTTATACCTAAATTTTGATATGATTCATGCGTTGTGTTCTGTACCGCGGAATTTGTGGCCAGGGTTTAACTTTAGGCCTTCCACCACAGTTATATTAATATAACTATATATCGGGTTTTTTCTTGTAACTTTTTAGCACCCCGTGTCTGCTAGAAAGTGCTTTCTCCAGTTCTTGCTGAATGAGTGGTGCTCCAAAGCCGCCATAACTACAAAACAAAGTTTGAGTACACCTTTGACAATGTTTCCTGTTTTTTTTTTCTTTTTTTTTTCACTATCTACTGTCTAACATTGCAACTCATCTAGTCTTGATCATAGTATGAATCGATTACTGTTTCTATAAGAATAAAGTATATTATTAATGTAGTTCATTATGCTGCAGGGATTTGTCAAGATCTTTTAATTCCAGTTACCAACTTTCATAATGAAGACAAGGGCTATATGGTTTTAGCTGGAGATGTTTTTGATTTGCCTATTCGGAAAGATATTGTTCATCGTGTTGTTTTGTGGCAGCGTGCAAAAAGTCAACAGGTATTGATTGCATAATGTTTTTGAACCATTGGACTGGGACATGTAATCCAGAGGAAATGCTATAAATCTCAGGCTATACTAATCCGTATAGGCCTAAAAAATCAGATGTATTCAATTGTTGAGGGGTGGAAATACTCATCATTTTTCACTTTTAGTTAGCATTTTAAATTGCTCTGACGATTTCTTGCGAGGAGGGAGTGGAGTAGGGGGTTGGGACAGCGGATCGGCATTTAGACATTGGACAATAAATAACTGTAGTTTGGCATATGTCTGCGGATTATACGTTTCAATTGATGTTTTAGCATTTAGTGCATTAAATCTCTTAATAATATTAATGTTTTGTTGCACTTTACATATGTTAGGGACTTGTAGAGTAATGGATGAATTCGTCCTTACATTAGAATAGAGTTCTGGAATACTTGAACAAGAAGAACGAGTATTAGTGAAAAATGACATGATTGAGAGACTCAAACCACACACAATGCCTCTCTAGTCTCTACACAATTCTACCCGCCCTGCCTCTCTTCTGTCCTACGCTTTTGGCATTGTTTTAAAATTAATTTGCACATTCCTCGCTCTTCTCTCCCTTGCTGCCACATACATAGGATGTTATTACAATAGCATACCGCATGCGTAGTCAATTTTCCACTCTACCTCACTTCCCTCGCTCACTTGAGTCATTATCCACTTCCTTTCCCTTTATATATCCTATCAATCATATCATTTAGTAAGAGGCATGGTAAACATAGAATGGCATTGGCTATATAATTTATCTTTTAAATGGGAGGTTGAAGACTCCGAGACAAGCCCTAGAAGCATATGGTTTTCGCCTAAGTACAAGCAAGATAGAGTATAGCAAAAGGCGAGAAATTTTTAGCCTAGAGGTGAAATTTGGAGATCATATCATACCACAAGTTACAAGGTTTAAATAGCGTGGGATTATAGTACAACATGACAGACAAAGTAGAAGGAGATGTAAAGTATTGAATTCAAACTGTGGTTGAAACGGAGGCTTGCTTCAGACGATATATGTTACACGGAAGTACCGCTCAAGCTGAATGAAGTTTTTTATCGGACAATTGTAAGATTGACGTTGTTGCATGGGACAAAGTATTGGACAATAAAGATCCAGCACAATAATAAATTAAGTGTAACAAAGATAAGAATGTTGGGTGGTAAGACTAGATATTAGAAATGTCGACATTAGAGAGAGTTGAGGTAGCACCCATCGTAAAAAAGATGGTGAAATTTCGACTTAGGTGGTTTGGTATGTAGAGAGAAGACTTGTGGATTTTGTAGCAAGAAGAGTAGATCAATGGAGGGTAGTCAAATCACTAAATACTAAGAAAGACGTAGGAAAACTATAAGAGAAACTATCAAGAAAGAATTAGAGTTTAACAAGTTGGATAGAAATATGATATCTGGTAGAAGATTATGGGATTGTTTGATCCATGTAACCGACTCCACTTACTGGAATAAGACTTGGTTGTTGTCGTATGGATTTAAATTGTTAGCTTTGAAATTTTTTCCATCGGAATGTTATTTGTTTGATCATTGATTTTGCCAACAGGGAACTCACTCAACAAAAACTATCAGTGAGGTCAGTGGGACTGGGAGAAAGCCTTGGAACCAAAAGGGGACTGGTCGAGCAAGGCACGGGTCATTGCGCGGGCCTCAGGTACAGTACATTCTTTAAATGAAATCCAGCCTATTTTTATTCACCCTTTTTTCACAGTATATTCCTCATCCCATTCTACAGTGGAAACTAATATACTGAATGAATGACAACAGTTCAGGGGTGGTGCCATAATGCATGGTCCTAAGCCCCGAAGTCATGCTTTCAAACTCAATAAGAAGGTTCGGCGACTGGGGCTAAAGATTGCTCTGTCAAATCGTGCAGCAGAAGGAAAGGCAAGTCTCTTCCTCTATCCCCGTCCTCGCCCTCGCCTTATTTCTAAAATATTTAAATTAAATAGAAACAACACTTCTAAATTATTATGTCTGCTTATACACTATTTGTTGATTTTTCACTATAGAAACATTAATTTTTAAAATGTAGTAATATATTGTTTAATATTTTGGTTAGTAGTTTACCAGCCAAACTAGCACGATACACAATACTCTTATTTCTTGTAGGGAATTCTTAGCTAATATGTTATGTGAATTTACTCTGGTTTTGCAAATGTTATTGTAGTTGACAAATAGTTTAGAATGATCAATGTTGCAAATGTTATTGTAGTTGACAAATAGTTTAGAATGATCAATGTTAAGAGTTCCACTTTGGATGAGATATGACGTGAATGCGTGTTTATAAGTAGGGGCAGTTTTCACATGACAAGCTGGTTTTTTAAATAAAGGGCGGCGTTTTTGTCATGACTATTTGTACTTTTTGCGATTCTTTTTTATGTATTATTCTTGCATTATATGTTAAATAAGAGTTTGTGTTTATCTTGTGTACACTGATCCCTGGTGAATTAATTTATACAGCTTATTGTGCTTGAGGATTTGGAGGTTCCCACACATAAAACCAAGAACTTTTTGAATTATTTCAATCAACTGGAGGACACCAAGAAACTTCTGATAGTAGATGGTGGCCCCATAAATGAAAAGCTAAAGTTAGCTACACAAAATCTGCATTATGTTAACTTACTTCCATCCATTGTAAGTATCAGTTTACCCATGTTGCTTCTATAATATTTCTCCTCAGTCCTCATGGAAGTGGCGATTAGGCGATTATAACTCTACTAGTAGAGTATCTTTTAGAGTTTATAGTGTGTTTCCAAGAGTCAATACATTTCCAACAATAACTGTAAGTCTCGTACTAGTTGGTATCAACAATCAATCAATGTCATTGAGCTCTATCAAGAAACCAATTTTTAGTAAAACGATTTAGAACAGGGTCTTTTAAATGATTTCTCGTAGTCATTTTTCTAATCAAACTATGTTCCAGCTGATCCACTTTTCTCACTAGAACCTCCATTGTTCTTCTCACATTACCAAATTATTTAGGAAGGTTTCCTCATCTTCTGCTCAAAGGTTGTTGCTTCAACTTTCTTCCAGATATTTTCATTCATAATATTTTATATCACTCACTACAGCATTTTTATCATATCAATGCTTATTTTTTCGGCTCCTATCGGCACTTCGGTATTCAACTTCACTGCTGTAAAACATCGTTGATCTAATAAAATCTTCTTTATGAGTTTGATAGTGTAGCTTGTGACTAGATGTGTTATGATGTTCTAATCTCATTTTTTCACCTTTTAGAAACATCCTTAACTCATGTCATACTATATCATATTATATACTATTTTTTGCTCCCACTCAAATTACTCAATTGAAAACCCGTTAATTCAAAAGCTCCTTGATAAAATTGTTTAGAATTTATTATATATATCAAGCACAAAAAGTATATACTGAGGCACGGATCTTTCGATGCTTGTTACAAGATTCTCAAACTGGGTGTTCTTATGAAGACTATGATTGAACTATTTTTATTATTGTTGTAGGGCTTAAATGTCTACAGTATTTTGTTGCACGATACTTTGGTGATGTCGAAAGATGCTGTGAACAGAATTGTCGAGCGAATGCACACTCCAATCTCCACTAAATCCAAACCCCAATAAATGGTTAAGGCAGTAACTATTTCTGTACTTCATTTACTTGGAATGCGAATATTTTGACGAGGTTTCTTATAAAATCATACTCTACCAGAAAAGCAAGTTGTAATTGTTATGCTGTTCAAGATTAGAACTTGGGAATTGGATGGTGGAATTTAAGTGTTCAAATGGTTAGGTTTGTTATGGTTTCCAATGGTATCTCATTTTCAGCAAATGCACATGATCTGTTTAACTCCAATGAATTTAACCAGTTCTGGGAGAAGGGAGAGCAAATATGATTTAGTTGGTTTTATTTATTGTAGCATAAGATATGCAAGCATTTGAATATCAACCTTTTAATAATTTTATGTCTTGTGTTTCAGAGTGGAAACTGGATGGAAAAAAGGAATGTACATTTCTCCTTATTTGGAGTTTGAAATAAAACAGAATAGGAAATCAGTTCTTAACCAGGAGATAAAGAAATAGATAGACGGATTATGCCATTAGATTAGATTATAGTTAAAGCACGTAAAATTTATATAATTTTGAATTTTTAACTGAATCACGTCTTTAGAATTTTAGTAAAATGATGTTTAGTTAAAGTAGAGAAAGATGGAGTACCAATTTTTTTCTCTTCGGTTAAAATCATGGGACATGCACATTACACCTTATTCTACATTTCTGAAAACTCAAATGTTATATCTCCTGACGTATTTAAAATCATACTGCACTTGCCTTTTTTAGATCTATCATATTTTAATCAAAATATGGTTTCCAAAAGTTCTCTGAAGTCCTATAAAAGACATTGTAAGCGTGTTAATGATAGAGAATTATTTTTGAGATATCTAGAAAAATCCATGAATAATTTTGGTGCAGCACTATTGTTTTAACATTGTAATTTTGTAATTTTTTATGTTAAATTACATTAAAGTTAAAAGTCATATATTAATTTAAAAAATCAAAACCATACATAATATTTGTTCAAAAATATAAAAGGATAATACATCCAAACATAAATGACTAGATATGTCTAATCCTCGACATTCTCCTCCTCCGTCTGCATTGCATGACACTGTGACTCGACACTCGACAATCATGCTCTCTACGAGGGTTAATTGAGGACTACCTTCCACAAAAAGTTATGCATTTATGCATGCTCTACTCATATCCACAACACGTCGACACGTCCTCCTTGTGGTCATCCATAGCCTCAAGTACATCCTAGTTAGTTGACTTATGTGGTATTCCAAAAACATTTGATGTCATGATAAGGTGTGATACCTTATAAAACCATGCCATATAGTTGTCTCATAGATCCATTATACAGGAGCTAGTACCCTGCGATACTCCTCTGGTATCATGTGACTCTCGAAATCGTCAAGTGTCGCATCGAGATCTCTGTGGAGGACGATAGAAGGAGCATACTCATAGGGGGTCTCAGAATAATTTACAGATAGCCAAACTGTCGCATCACTAGCTCAGGTAGATAAGAATACATAAGAGATTACTCACATGCTAGCCATCCGGAGTATAAGAAAATGACGTCAAATGAACGTGTCTCACCATGACCCTTGTATTGGCAAAAGGCAATGTCATATGTTTCAAGACGATCAAGATGCACTCTAAATGGCTCGACCACATTATTCCTCAAATACAGAAGAAATATGATAGCACACGACCACTCATAAATGTATGTAGGCACAACTTTCCACCCAATGATGCAAGGGAAGTAGGAGAGAATCCATCCTTGAAAATGGTTCATATACAATATTAATAACAAGTGTAACAAATGAATTATGAAAATATTAGTAACAGTAAATTATCGTAAGCAACATGCAACTCCCTATCATCTGCTTTCTCTTCCAAAGACAACCTTCACCAAACTTCGAGTACAGGTAGACCAAACATGTGCCCCTAGTTGTACTCATGAATTATAGTCAAGTCGATGAAGTACTAAATGTAGACCACATCGACATAAGTTGCACTTTTATCCACAAACATGGACGTGCCAACAAAGAACAAGAGGTAACACCTCAATGCATAAGTCCAATGGTGCTCATCATCTTAGGCATCCACGACCCACCACAAGTGTTCTTTATAAAGATTTTCCAAAAAACTAAATCTTACATGAGCCCCTCTTGTGTCTGCAACCTCCTTTGAGGCCTCGGTTGGGTCAGCTCCCAAATAGGTGACCATCATCTCGACAACTTTCTCTCGACCGATCCTTCAGTGGCCCAATGATTTTCCCCTTATGGGAAGATGCAGGAGGCATAAGATGTCATCTAAGGTGATGGCCATATCGCCTATAGAAATGTGGAAAAAAGAAGTCTCTGAATGCCACCTCTTTACAAAAGTTGTTTGCATGTCGTGGGGTATGGTCTCGTACACAACAAAACATAAATCGACACGATAGTAATAACAAAGAACATCCTTAAAGCAAGCAGCAGTGGGCTTCCCCAACTCCAACATCTTTCGGCTCTGATTTATCAATTTCAAATATGTACGCTTCTATAAAAAGAAAACATCACTTTCACTATCGATTTAATTAGTTGAAAACATATGTACTCGAAAAGAAAAAAAATATACCTAACCTTCCCATAAATGCCTAGCAGCACGGTCTGCATACATATGAAGTAAGGAGGTGTCAATTGGGCCTCCTGGATAACTGTCTCATGGGGCATCGACACCGGCTTCCTCACGAGCTTTAGAGGTTTTAGGGACTGCTGCATCATTTGGGGACTTGTAGCCTTGTAAAGTAGATGCATGAGAGAGAGTGACAGGTATGAGAAGCTAAATCAAATGGTTAGGAACCTCAGCATTGCAAACCAGGTGGTTGGAAACCATTAAACGAGTTTCATCAACTCATGGCCTCGCGGTCCTGGACGCAGCCCTCTCAGGTTGTATAAACGCGGTTTGGGACACACATCCAAGCCTAACTCTGCTACGGTTGGCTTCAGAGTTGCTTTCAGTCATTGCAGCTACAATACAAACCGACACACAGAAAAACAACATGTTAGGAAAAATACACAAATTCTACAAAATAAAACAAATTTGAGCCTGAGTCAAATCTGGATGTGCATCTCCGAAAATAACACTATAAAAATTTGGAGATGCATCTTCGGACAAACCCGCGATTATAATCCAAGGCAGAAACGTCATTGCCGCACTAACCCTCCAAAAATATGTCAATGCATGTTCTTGTAGGCTACCAATTTCGTTTACACTACTATCTAATGTACCTAAAACAACTAATTCAACTTAAACAACTAACTACTGAAGGTGAGAAAAACACAATAAGGGGGTTAAATTGTGTTGCCTTTTTCTTTCTTTTTAAAACTCTTGAGTCAGATTCTAAAAATACGTTGTAGAATTTAATTTAGTCAGAGGTAGGCAGCAAATATGTGTCGCACCTCGAAAAATCAAATAGATAATTCGAACATACGACCCTCGCACGAAAGGCGCTGAATGCGGTTCGGCAGAGTCGCCACCAAACTTTATTTATCCCAAAGAGATGGGAAAGGAAAATATAGAGAAGACCTTTTAAACAAAAGACAAGAACAATGGTCCTCGCAACCACGTTCCGGGTTCGGGAGTCGGTTACACAAGGGGAAGGTATTAGCACCCCTCACGCCCGTTGTACTCAACGGTAACCTTTTAGTACGATTTGCGGTGGGCGTTATCTAAGCTTGTTTGTTTTCTTCTCGATGATAAATGCAAAATGGTACGATAAAAATATTTGATACTAAGGAGAATGAGTGGTTGTAGGATAAGGTGCGTAGCAAGGATCGAGGCCCTTGTGCCTACGTATGCTCATTCGGACAAGAATGAGAAATCAGAGATTTCGTAGTTCGACTATAGGAAAGGATAGGGGGAACGAAAGATGAATAGAATTGTGAACAGAGTGACGGAGAAAGATGAATAGAATTGTGAATGGAGTGACGGAGAAAGATGGAAGTGTGCTCGCCAAGATCATCGCAATCTTGTGCCTACGTATCTTACATTCATACGAGAATGAAGAACCAGAGCGTCCGTAGTTCGTGGAGACGGCCACGAAAAAAGATGGGGTTGAATTGATGTTGAAGTTTGGTTGATTTTGGTTTGGAAACCAAAGATTGAATGACAAACAACCCAAGGGGCATGCCTCGAGAGCTGTCACTCAAGATTCAAAGGAATGCGAGATTCCAAGAACTCAGTTCTTTCGAGAGTTGATTAAAAAGGTTAGGAGAAAATACAAAGATTGAATGAACAACAACTCAAGGGGCGTGCCTCGAGAGCTGTTCATTCGAAGATCCAAGGAATGCTAGACTCCAAGAATCTCCTTCTTTTATAAGTTTGATTACAAAAATGTTCAGGTAACAATTAAGTGTTTTGAGATGAAAGTTTGAATGCATGACAACCCAAAGTGTGTGCCTCAAGAGTCATTCATTCGAAGATCCAAGGAATTCTAGACTTCAAGAATCCTCTTCTTTCGTTATTTGTTAAGAAAAAGTTTGAAAACGATTGAATCGAATAAGTTGCGAAAAGAGGTGGACTACAAGGCAAAAGGCACTCGACTTATAAGTTTGAAAATGCCACTTGACGTTGGATCAAGAGTTTGATTTTATTTGTATGCAAAGACGTGTTGGAAAGGAGGTTGATTTGAAAATGACTCGACGACGAGTCGAGGGTTTGGTTGAAAATGGAACCGGCTCGACGATGAATCGAGGATTTGGTTGTGAGAAACAATACTAGTCACTGAGGGTACTCATAATAACGAAAACACGATGAAATATGAAAGGGTGTGCAATAGGTTGATGGTGATTGCGTACGAGCAAACAAATTACGAGGGGTGTTTGAAAATAGCTCGATGAAAAATCGAGAATTAGTTTGAAAACAATTTAGTCTACGCTAGTCCCTAAGGGTGCTCCTAGAAGATAAACTACAATTAAATAAATACGAATGCGTACATCGGAATGGGAGAGGGGTACATGTAAGTTACACGAGATTGCACGAAATAAAATGGTCTCATTGTAAGGTAGCCCAAGAGGAAGCCGTGTGTGTGCGAGGTGTCCTAAATTATGCCTTGAGCAAGAATCAGACAAAAGCTCCAAGTTAGGGTTTCTGATACAGTCCAATAATCCGTTGCTCGGAAAAGTAACCAACAGTCCACCAATTTAGGCTTTTAGTGTTCGATAATTGTTATTGTATTTTCGAATAATGTGAATGAGATATGAACAACATGAATATGATATGAACAATGTGAATAATATGACAAGATATATAACAATATAATCAAGATAATATCCATAATAGTATAATCAAGATAATATTAACAAGTATATAAACAATGATAATGTAATCAAGAGTATATTGACAGAAAGTAAAGTTAGTTGTTAGTTAATGTGAATTGAATCGGGACAAAATGTAGCGCTAAACCGTCGTAGCTCGATCTATGATGAAGATCAAATTATGGGAGGTCATGCAAGTTGATATACGTGCTAAAAACACGATGGAGAAATGATATTGAGGATCATTTTCCAATGTAATAGTGTCACACGAACCGAAAAGGTGACGGTATCGTCTTAATCACAAACTTGTGTTAATTAATCGAAGGTAACCTATCACGATTCCAAAGTATAGAAAATGATCCCAATGATCATTTTCTATAGATTTAACATAATAAAGGTTAACAACCTCAATAAATCAACGTTTATGAATAGAAAGACTTCATCGGTCGAGAATTGAAATTGAAAATCAATAATGAGAATGGAAATAAACGAGAAGTAAAATCGAAAAGAAAACGGTCTAATATTAATCATGGATTTTCAATCCACGACTCTTAGATATTCATCGATCAATAATAGAAATAAAATAAAAAATGGGAAGGAAATTAAAATGGAAATGACACACAAAGATTTAATTAAAAAAAACAAAATATTGATAGTGAAATATTTAAAAACTAAATGTTAGAAATTTACAAAATTCTAAAACAAATTAAAATAAAAAAGGGACGGGGTATGTGAAATGGCAAGGGTATGAGAATAGTGGAATCACTTGGGCTTATGCAAGCCCATCATCCACTACAAAACTAGAATAATAAATAAATGGAAGTTTTACCTCATACCCCTACCCTTATACCCACACCCCTACACTAAAAAAAGTTGGACCAAAATACCCTTAGTAAATACCTATAATCTTACATTTTTTCATTTTTCACTTCCATTTCTCACTTTCCATTTTAAGACTTCCAGAACTCTCAAATTTTGTTACAAACCGGAACTCTCACACAAACACTTCCGAAACACATTTCAGTTGCAATACATACCTGAACACTAAGAGTAAGTCTTCCGGTTTGTATTTTGTTTTGGCTTCTTCACCGGAACTCTTTCATTAAGACTTCTGGTTCACAAAATTTTGAAGTTGGTCACTAGAACTCTTTTTTGAAGACTTCCGGTTCATAAAAGATTTTAGTTTACTCACCGGAAGTCTTTCCTAAAGACATCCGGTACACTCAATATTGCGTTTCAACTCCGGAAGTCTTCAAAGAAATACTTCCGGTTCATTGCTTTTTTTTTGTTTTGTTATTTTTGTTTTCTAATTATATTTATTTATTTTTATTTTTAATTTTTAATTATATTTATTTTTTTCCAGTGGTGCGCACAAGAGGCAGAGATGGTAGGATCCCTCGTGGACTAGGACGGGGCGAGTCATTGAGGATGGCTGAAGAAGAGCATTTTGGTGCATATGCATCAGCATCAGCATCCGAGCCAGTTGGATATCCCGGAGGACCGTATGATACGTCTCTGTTAGTTAAATACGAACAACATGTTGCATACCGTATATGGTTCGGTGAGGTAAGTAAACGAAAATTATTTAATATTGAATAGAATTCGAATTTTTAATATTGAATTTTATAATATTTTTACTTTTAATTTTTTTCAGGAGAGAGGGTCGAAGAAAGAGTTAAAGGTGGCATGACATGGGATAAAGTTGACTCAGAGGGTTCCACTACAGTTACCCAGAGAGATGGAGAGCTGGATATCTAGGTCTGGTCTAGTTTCACTTCAGAGAACCAGTTTAACAAAGATAGACACAAACCTAGTTTCCGCTTTTGCAGAGAGGTGGCATCTAGAGACATCTTTATTTCACATGTCGTTTGGTGAGATGACGATTACTCTAGATGACGTATCTTGCCTGCTTCACTTGCCCATCAGGGGAGTCTTCTGGAACCCTCAAGATATCAGTGAAGCGCTTGCTGTTGAGTGGGATGTTGATTATTTGGGAGTATCACAGAGAATAGCACAGCAACAAGTCCGTGAGTGTAGGGGTTCCTACTATAAGCTGGAGTGGTTATATGATCGGTTTGTAAAGCACAAAGCTGCATCTCGATGGGATTATGCCACTAGATCTTATTTGCTGATGTTAGTGGGTTCCACTACTTTTGCGGACAAGACGTTTACGCTTGTCGAGGCACGATACCTCTCACTTTTTATAGACTTGGATGGCTTATCAGGATACAGTTGGGCAGCAGCTGTGTTGGTTACTCTTTACTGATATCTCGGAGATGCTTCCATGTTCAGCTGTAAGCAGCTTGGTGGTTATCCGACTCTCCTACAGGTATTTATTTTAATTTAGTATATTTTGTTTTAATTAATTTTATCTAGTATATTAATTTTATTTATCTAGTTTATTATGTTATAATTAATTATTTTAAATTTTGTAACAGTGCTGGATTCATGAGTATTTTCCTACACTTGGAAAAAGAGGAGAGAACTAGATACCAGCTAATAATGTGGGTCTCCCACGAGCGATGAGATGGTCCTATAGACAAGGTGCCTTGAAGGTGGATGACTTGCGGCCTATTCTGGACGAGCTGACACCTGCTGATGTCATATGGCGCCCATTCGAGAATCATAGAGTATGACGTCAGTTTGATGAGTTATGCCTCTATAGGGGGTGTCTGAGGTGGGGTGACACTATTGTTCCATACATGCCTGACAGATGTTTGCGTCAGTTTGGATACAGGAAGTATGTTCCACATCCACCTCTTGATTCTCGAATGGCGGGTGATATTGATGTTGACTGGATTAGTTACCATCAGAGCGTTCAAAATGTGATTCATCCGACAGCACCGACCACCACCTCATATGAGACAGATGATGGGTATCTTGAGTGGTATTATCGTGTTTCGCATCCTCGTCTGGTACCGCTCAGTGTTGATGCGACAACAGAGATGCCAGTTCCTGTATATGAAGCAGGACCATCTGATCCTATAGTGGCTCGTATGTCTTCATTGATACATCGTTATCTTCAGCAGACTGGTGCTGAAGAGGATGACCCACAGTTTGCTGATTTGTTCGAAGCTTTACATCTTGGTCTATCACGGTGACTTTTATTTATATTTATGATTATATGTTAACCTTTAGACAGATTTGACCTAATTGGTTTATGTTCATGTGTTAACTTTTAGACTAATTTGACCTATTTAGTTTATGTTTATGTGTTAATATAATTCACGATTCATGTCTTGCAATTAAAAACTAGTAACATAATTCACGATTCATGTTTTGTAATTAAAAATGAGTAACATAATTCACGATTCATGTTTTGCAATTAAAAACGAGTAACATAATTCACGATTCTTGTTTTAAAATTAAAAATGAGTAACATAATTTATAATTCAAAATGCGTTGGTAATATAGGCATAAGTTGTTGCCAATGTTGTAGACGTCCTGCAAATCCTATCATCCAAGATGTTGCTGCTGGAGAACGAAACATCTTCCAATCTACTGTCACTGGTGGCAATGAAAACCCTTCTTTCATGTTTACCTAAATAAAAAAATAACTCGCAATATTAAGTAAAAATAACGAAAAAGAATTAGGTTTAATCGCATTATCTAAAAACAACTAAGTACCTAAACCCAATGATTTCTGTTTACAAAACCAATGCAGTAAATTGCCTCATTCGGTGAAAATGAAGATGTCATAGGGAAGAAAGTCCAGCATTCAATTCCTAAACAGACAAGTACAACATTATAACGATTCGCTATCACGTAACCCATATCTGGTAGAGTTAACCATTTATGTGGTGGTTGAGGACCAAATTCCTCTATCATCAAAGATTCTCTCACTACTGCTAACTGATCAGTAAATAAATTGACATACAAACTTGATCTTTCATTATGTATTATTTCCAACCCCAAGTCTCGACGAACCATTGACCAACCATCTTCACCATATCCATGCAATGAAGCAATGACTCGAAATCCACAATTACCATCTGATACAACATTAACTACATCATCAATATATGACCTGATGTGATTAGGAAATTGAAGGATGAACTACTTAGATGAATGTGAAGATTGTGATAATTTCAACTTTTTCGAAGCCTGTGATGGTTGAGATTTCTTTTGTAAAGACTGTGATAATTTCAATTTCTTCGAAGTTTGTGATGGTTGAGATTGCATCTGTGAAGATTGAGATGCTTGATCAACATACTCATGATACGAAGGGTCTATATAAACATCATATCCTACTGGTTTTTATGTCTTTCTTCTTGACTCCCCCTTTAGTTTTTATTTTCTCAGGTGGTGGACACATAGAAGTCATTGTAGGGAAGGCAAGTTCAAAAACCCTAGTTTTTAATGCCTTTTTTCCCAACAACATCCAGTGACTTAAACCTTTTCCATAACTCATCTATTGCACTACTCATATCCACCTCTGATCCATCATCTACATCTTCGTCCAACTTAACTTCCATACTTAGTTTTCTCCAATGAACATGTACAACATCTATTGGTATCGGTAAACCATCAATTCTATATCCTGTCAACTCACAAGCACAAGGTAATCCGTAGGTTGTTCTAAGAGTACAACGACATATTTCCTTGTTAGTTCCAACATAATCAACTCGTTTTAACTCTTCAGCAATGCGTCGCAATGCTTCTCGAGACACTGAACCACGTAAATTATTGTAAAATGGACTTACGTGGGCGTGCTCAACTTCATAAAAACTCTTTTGAAAAGAAGCTCTAATATTATTCAATTGTAACTTTAAGTTGTCATTCATAGCCTCCCAACATTTGACCATGTCACCAATACTGTTCCCCAACATTTGCTTTAACTTCCAATGAGCAGACTCAACCCTAAAATTAATACATATTTAAAATATTTTAAAAAAATTCAAAAAAAAAATACAATTTAGAAATACTAAAAATAAATACCTACCGATTAGTCGTAGTGTTACCCAAATGTAGCAATCGATTAATCCATGCTCCAACAAATCTTTGTCTATGTGGTGTCAACCATGTATCCTTCACATAATCAATAAATTCATTACAATCAACACACGCCTGCTCAAGTTGGCTCAACCTTTGATCATACTCAACCTCATCACTAGCCCATACAACATCCGTCCATAACTCGTCAATTTTCTTTTGCATGTCACTAGCCACATATTGTTTCCGTTTTGCACCAACATTCTTGTTAATATGAAATCGACATAGCATATTGATCGACCTTCGAAACACAATTTCAATGGCTTTCATCAAACAAGATCTCTATCAGTCAAAATCACTTGTGGACACAACTCTTTCTTCACAAACAATTGTTTAAGCTTATCTAGCACCCAACAAAAAGTCTCAGTTTGCTCAGACTCAATATAGGCAAATGCGACAACAAAAGTCAACTCGGTTGATGTCATGCCAACTATTTCAAACAGAGGTTGCCTATATTTGTTTGTCTTGTAAGTGTTGTCCATAACTAGCACAATAGGAAAAATATTAAACAACTTAACTGAATCTGGATGAGCCCAAAAGATATCTCTAATTACTTCAGAGTCATCTCTTTTTCTACTCCAATAAACATAACCTGCTTCCTCAATAAGCTTAAACAAATGTTGTATCTCACTTCTAGGACCTCTTATATTTTTTTCTATCATACTCTTCTGTTTGTATATTTGCGTGATCCGAGTGACATTATCTGGATCTTGCTCTTGCAATGAAAGCAATATATGTCTAGGTGGAACCTTTCTCTTTGTCAAATCAACAACATGTTGCTTCTGATCAGATGCCAACCTACCGACAAATGTGTGACCTTCTAATCTATCAGGTAAACCATGGTTATGAACTCCACATTTTACATCAATCTTCCATCCAGATCCATCAGCCGCTGGAATTGATCTGATTCTAAATGGACATCTACATTTTTTCGTCGCACTCTGGATTCCACTATCAATATCTCTGTGTTTTCCTCCTTTATCACATCCAAATATTAATTTGTTACTTCTTCCTCTCTTGCCTGTTTTAATATCTGAACGAGTGATGATAACCGTAACTTTATTTCGGATTCCGATCTCTTAAATCCATCTTATTACCTCTTCTCGTGTACCAAATCTTTGAGTTGTTGAAAAAACATCAGACGTATCTACGCATATCTGATCTTTATCGCATATTTGTAAAGGAATGTCTGAAACCTCTTCTCGTGTACCAAATCTCTGAATTGTTGAAAAAACATCAGATGTATCTACGGATATTTGATCTTTATCGCATATTTGTAAAGGAATTTCTGAAATAATTACATAAAAATTTTTTTTAAAAAAAATTGGACAAATCAAACCGGAACGCTTGCTACAAGTGTTCCGGTAGCTAAAAAACAAACCGGAAGATTTTTTACAAGTCTTCCGGTGAACATTCACGAAAATTACCACGGAAGTCTTTCCTGAAGTCTTCCGGTATAGTATTTTTGTGAACCGGAACTCTTTGTCCAAGTCTTCCGGTTTGAGAAAAAAAGCATACCAGAAGTCATTTTCAAAGTGTTCCGATAGATCGTGGGATGAATTTTTCGGAAGACTGAAAAATATAAAAAGTGAAAAAAAATAATAAAATATTAAAATATATAAAGATAAAATGGGTATTTTTTTTAAAATGTAGAGATATGAGTATAAATGCAGGGTATTGGATAAAATTTCCTAAATAAATAAATAAAAAACAAGCAGAGAAAGAACACGGGCCTCTAGGCCCAAACCTCACGCCACCAAAAACCCAATGCCTTGAACAACACAAAAACAAGGCAAGGCTTTGTTCCATCATTCTATTTTTATTTTTTTAAGCCAAAACCAAATCACGAATGATGAAAGTGAAAAACAACATCAGATCAAAGCAAAAAGGGTGAACAGCTCTCTCGCGCAACAGGGAAACATCATCAGAAATAATATCATCGTCACTGCGCGTCAGAACAATCAAGGAAAAGGGAAAAAAGTCTTATGAACTCAACCTTGCTCGCGAATCGTATTCAAACTCGACTTGCTTCTCCAATTTTGAGTTTGCTTCAGATTCGTATGATTGGATTTAGGTTTGTTTCTTTTCGTTTCGTTTCGTCTCGCTCTTCTTCTTCTCTATTGTCTCTGTTCTGGTTTCTGTTGGATTTTTTCTGCAAATTTAATTTGAAAAGGTTTGAAACGGGTTGTGGGTTTGAGGTTGATTTGAAGCGTCGATGGTGGTTGAGGACCGAAATGGTGGTGTTATGAATATGGTGGGTCGTTGAGCGTACAAAGGTTTGAGGGTTGTTCTATATTGATGAAGGTGAAATGATTTGGGAGATGATTGAAGAATTTGAGGTGATTTGAAGGAGAGTCGAAGGGGTGAGCTTGTGATTTGGAATGGTTGTGGGTTATTGATTTTGAGGAATGTCTATGGAGTTTGAGGAAAGTTTGAGACTCAGTTTTGGCATAATAGCTTTGGCACTTCCGAGCTCCTCCTTTTGGGAATGAATAGGGAACTGTTTATATAGGAAGCTTGGGGTGAAAATTGTCATTTAGTATTGACATAGCGAAACCGTTTTTCTTTTAGGAATATCATTTCTCTCCGGATTCGCTTTGTGCTAAGTTGGTTTTAACATTTTTTTGCTTCACAACTCGTGCTACCTTTAGGTATGTGACATGGATTTGATTTATTTTCAGTGCAGGATGTGAACTATTTTCCGTATTGAGTGATAAGGTTTTGTGTATGATGTTAGCAATTTGTGGGTTACGTTGTTTATGCGCAGGACGCAGAAGTTATGTAAGACCGACTTCTTTGCGTGGGGTAGGCAAGGGTGGAACGCGCTACAAGTTTGTTGAGTGCTGGCCTTTTCCGTGTGAGTATTCGAAGCTTGTGGAGGTTCGTTTGGATTGGTTGTGTTGTATCATGGTGTCTACGGTACCCCTTATGGTATCGCAACAGGTATATATAGTTTGGCATGTTGCTGCTATTTTGTATTGTGCAGATAGAATTCAATTGATGAAATATAAAGTGATGTGTTTTTCAACATGATCGAGTGGTAGCTAATTATGTCAAGACTTGCTGCAAAAATTTGGAGTGTATGATGGCTTGTTGTATAAAATCACTTATGATAATGGACATTTGTTTTTTTGTTTTGTTGCAAATTTGTCATTTTTGGGTTGTATTGATGATGGACTTCGTAATGAACAATGGGATTTTTTGGAATTGATATGAAATAATATGGGCTTAAAAAAAATAGTAATGGTTTTATTATTTAAAAGGGTGATAAGAAAAAAAAGATGGGTTTCTCTTGTATATTTTTGTACAATTTTTCTAGAAAAGGACTAAACAAAAAGAAAGGTGATGAACTTGACTTTCGAATTTGAACATGATGAATAAAACATGAATACATCTTGACCCTTAAATGAATTATAGCATTGAGCCACAAATCATTCTTGAATTTACCATGAACTTGAAATGGATCAGAGAATATGAACTTGGCCAATTGAATGCTCAAAACACTTGAGCCCTAATTCAAAAAAAGAACGGATTTTTGATGATTCTCAACCATGAAGCATTTTCCCTATCATACTATGATAACCTTACCCACACAGATTACCTGAATTCACAGAAACCCTAACTGAAACTTCAGGCACACACCACCCAAATTACGCATCTTAGCCTTGATTGTGAAATCAAATCCCTGGTTGACGAAGACTAAGTTATATACACTGAAATTCAATCAAAATTGCACACGCCATTGCCCTGGTAGCCTCAAATGAATCTTGTAACAACTTGAGTTAAGCAATAAGAAGAATGGAAGCAGAAAGAACATATTTTGGATTCTCTGAATA